CGGCGGCGGCAGCGGCAGCAGCAGCGGAACTCGAAGACGACACGGTCGAGGTAGAAACGGCGGCAGCAACCGTGGAGGACGGTGCGACAACGGACGCCGCAGTGGAGGAAACGGCGGCAGAGGCTGAGGCTGAGGCAACGGTGGTGGCAGCCACTACTACGTTGGCCGACGCGTTTCGCCTGCTGCTGCTTCGTCTGGAGGATGAGATCGGCGCGTTCGCCGGCGGTGGTAGATTATTGACGAAAGGGCTTCTTCTCTCGCGTTCGGCGCGTCGATAGTAGCACGGATGTATCATGAGAAGGGGTTCACCTCCGCCAGGCGGTGGTTTTGCCTGGCTGGGTAGCTCGTACTCGACGCTACAGTCGACGTGGAGAGGTTGCGAATAATCCTTGTAGTCCTTGTAGGTAGTGACTGCGACCGCGGCGGCTGCCGCCGCGGCCGTCGCGGCCGCAACAGCTGCGGCGGTGGCGGTGGCGGTTGCATTCGAATTTGCGGTGGTAGTAGCGGAGGAGACGGCAGCAGCAGCAGCGGCAGCGGTGGTGGTAGTGTCGAGGATGCCGGTCGATGCGGCCGGTAGGACGGTTTGCTGCTGTCCGGTCGGGCCCGTCACGGGAGTCGTGGCAGTCGTGGCAGCCGCGGCGCCGCCGCCGCCGCTGCCGGTAGACCCGCCGGCGACGATCCCATGATGGTGATGGTGATGGTGATGATGATGGTGGTGGTGATGGTGATGACCGTGTCCATGCATAGCGGCACCTACCACCACTTCCTTCTCGTAGCAGGCAGCGGCCATGTTGGAAACCTCCTACTATCCAGGCTTCCGCCGCCGAACCGTCCCTTCTTGCACGCCCGCTGACCAACGACCCACCTCGAACGCTAGGCTCTCATTTCGTGGGATCCTCGTGATTATTCTCCCCGATGACGACCAAGATCCTCTGCTCTCCGTCTCGCCCAGCGTTAAAAGATTGCCCGATCTTTTGCCACACAGCCGAAGACGCGAATTCGCGATCCTCCGGCACTTTCTTTTTTTCCCTTTTTCTCTTCTTTCCCTTCTCTTTCTTCTTCTTCCTCCTCTTCTTCTTTTTCTTCTTCTTCTTCTCTTTCTTATACTTCTTTTCTCGATTCGTTCTTTGCCTCCTTCCGAATTGTATTCACGGTGCCTCGAACGCCTTAACGATTATAGTATTTCTCGCTGTCACGGGCATACCTTGAAACGAAGCGAGAAAAATCGGTACGATTCATCGCAGCGAGAGAGGGTTACCTTATCCAAGGGTTGGACCAATCAGCTATTATATCCAACACCGAGGAAAGCCCTCGAGGCGGAAGCCCCCAATGTACACGAGCAAAGGAGTGTTATCGCATATTTCGAGAGAGGGAAGGGGAAGAAGTTGTAGGTAAAGAGCTTACAACCAACTATGAATTCGAACACCACCGGCCCTGATTCGCTCGAGACCGGCTTCTTCCTTGCAACATCGATCTTTCCCTTTTCCGATTTTTCCGTTTCTATAAGACGTTCTCGTTTCACTAAGATCTCTCGCTCATACCTCCAAATTATTCCTTCTTTGTGTGACTCCTTAGTTTTCCTTCCCTTTCTTTCGACTCTTCTCTCGCACGAGACAATCACCTTCACTTTGCCACGAACCCTTCGCACGTACTGTTCCGGCCGCTACAACATCCATGCATCGTGTTGTTTGCATTTAAACGTTAGAACGCCGTACTCCCATTTTAACGAACTTCCTTCTCGACCAGACGTTTTCATTGATAGAACTCTCAACTATGTTGGAAACAGAGACTGCCGACTCGTGTATCAGAGCGAGCAATGCGACTTGGATATGACACGCTGGTTGGGCGTAACGTTTCGTCTCGTCTCGTCTCGTTCGTTGATTTCAAGCCTGAAACACCCTAATGCCTCGACGTTGTTTCGCAATTCTATCATCGGCTTGCATGTACGATCTTTTTACAGGGATTTGTCCTTATTACACACGGCACACACAGCGGCACAAAGGAATATTCGACGACGGAAAACACATTCAGGCCTCTTCGAAGGGGTACGCCATTGCTGCGCGTGTGTCAACCCGTCCGGCGTATCGGTTACTCGTACACACGCGAGACTGCGCCTATGAACACTAATACATGCACTGTACGCGTATACATGTAACATACATATATACATAAACTACACACCGTACTATGCCTAACTCGATCATCTCGTGCAGACTGCCGAGTCGCGACTGAAAGCCAAGTCCTGTCGAACCCTCGTGTCTGCTCACCACATTTCGCAACGCCCTCTTCCCCTCACTATTTTCATCTTGCTCAGCCGCCGGAATTTCCTTGTCTACAGCGTGGTCGATTCCGTAGATTAATGGCTAGTATCTATGAAATCCACGATACACGATCCACGATGCAACGCCGGGATGGCCAACCTTACGTGCTTACGTTTAGTTGCCTTTCATTGCGAAAATCTTTGATTGGTTTCTGCATCGAAAAATTTACTTTACGCTTTTCTACGCGTGTCTATTGTTTAGTAGTAATGATCACGCGAATAAATAATAAATACCTTCCACTCGATGAAATTTATAATTTATTGTAACAAACAAATAACTATGCGTGAATAGATTAAAATATAGTAGGTGAAATTATAATTTAAATTGTATAGCTTTTTGTTTTTTGACAATCTGCAGTACCGACTGTTACGCAATGCTCCATCCTCGTTGTACCGATAAGTAGATAATCTGTAATATCTAAACGGAGGATAGACGTCGCCACTGTATGGAACACTGTAACGCACTGTAATAACCTGGAAATTCTGATTTGAACTCATCTGTAATAGATCTTTACAAATCTATATTACATTTATTTTTACGTCAATTACTCGATTTTCTTGTTCATAAAAACCTCAATTTCTTATACTTCCTCCTCCCCCTCCTCCCCCTCCTCCC